AAACGTATCGTATGCAGTCATTTGTTTCAGTTTATTCGTAGTGTTTACCATAATGAATTATCTATTATATTATTTTATCAGTCTCAGAGTCACATACCGCTCCGCTGGAGCGGAAAACCTAAACCCTACACGTGCTATAGACATACTGCTCCGCTGGAGCGAAAACGGAAATAAGTGTGATTCTTGCTATAGCGTTCCTTCAGAAAAACAGTGTGAATCGTGCTAATCTGGCATTAATCACCAGATGCAGAGCCATTTAGTTTTACATATTTCCTTTATATATGTGAATGTTTTTCTGCTGTAGGAGCGAACTGTGCTCGCGATATTGCGCGAAACCCTAAACATCTGTGAACGAAAACCAAGATCGGAACCGAAAACTGAATAGCCCTGTCACCAGATGTTGGCAAGCTTGTAAGTTAACTCAATATGTGCTTTCATACCTCTATCTGTAACTTTGACAAGATTTCTGAAAAACGTTTCAGTTTCTTGAATGGCTTTACTGGTTAGACGGACTCTGCCACTCGGCGATTGTGTCCAATCGTAATCGGGCATCTCAAAACCGTGTGCGAAACTATGGCGGACGCGTAAAATTTCATTCAATCTCACCCGAAATTGCAAGCCGGTCATTCCATGGTGAGGCCAGATCCAGTCGTCAATTGGGTCGTATCCTGTGTATTGGACAAGCAAATTCCGTGTATTTTCCGAGTTCGGTGTATTAAATCTCGCCAAGGCGTTTTCTGCTGCGCGTTTAGCGAGTGTCTGTATAGCATCAAATTTTGGGTTCAGCGGATCCGCTATCACATCATAAAAGTCTCGAACCAAGTTGCTTATGTAAGCGTTCCACGTTGCGACGTAAGCTGCAAGTGCTGCGTGATAGTAAACTTGTATTTCACCATGCAACATGGGGCGCAAACGCCTATCCGTTGCTGTTCTGCGTAGCGTCTGTATGTGACTTGCCGCGATCAGGTACTTTGATGCTGCGGGTGATGACACAAGAAACCTCTAAAGATACGCCACAAAATTGGCAAGTGCATCCTGAAACAGCTTCAATGCCTCGCGCTCAAGTTGGACTTGCTTACCTCGAACTTATTCAGTCCGGGTTGAAGGTGATATGAGGGGATTCCTGTTGTCATCATCATACATGCACTGTGATAATCAGGTATTTCTATGAACCTTTCGCTCGGCAACGCTCTTGGGGTCGCGTAGATTTGGCGATGTTTTTTGTGAAGAACGTCCAACGTTTTCTTGATAGACGCACTCACACCCTCGAAAGTCTTGCTGGCTTTGTCTTCATGGAGCATGATACGGTTACTGACGAAAGTGTGAAGTTTCGGAATTGCGAGCCCCTCTTCTTTCGCGCTTTTGGCAAAATTGAGTTGGGCGTAAGTTTCTATTCTTGAGTTACCCATACCGTTGCCATAGAGCAGTGCGACAACGTTCTCCACAGCCCGACGTGAACTATCATCTGGGGTAAAAGGCACGACAACGTTCTCTGCGGAGGCGAGTGCTAATTGGGTATAGATAGCGAAGCTCGGATTACAGTCGAAGATAAAAAGCGTGTCTCTGTTATTACTTTTCTTACGTAACGTAAACATTAGATCCTTAATCCAACTGAGTGTCTGTTTCCACGCGTCTTCTGGCAGAGTGAACTCGGATATCTGGCGAATTGCTCCTGAGAGAATTTCCAGCAGATTATCGCCACACACCAAAAGCAAATTGACCGGAAGTTTTGCATTAAAGTCCCGAGGCCGACACACATACGGGGACACGTCCTTGAGGTGTCGAAAAGGTGAATTTAGGCGTGCTTCCAGGTAGCCTGCAACTGTAGCACGGGGTGTCTGTCCCATTAATTTATGGATTACATCGGGATTAACAAGCAAAGTTTCAGAGATGCTCGCTTGTGGACACATATCTATAACATACACATCGGTGTCTGGATAAGTACGGGCATACTCGGTTGCTGCAACAAAGCTTAAGAAACTCTTGCCAACACCGCCTTTATTGTTCCAGAATGCGTAAGCTGTCATAATGCCACCCCCTCTCGAAAAAGTGAGAAAACTTGTGAAAAACTGCTTTAAATTTTAACACAAATTGGTATGGTATGTCAAGCGGTTTTGGATTTTGCGGAGGGAAGATCCTGATGCCACAAACTAAAAGTTTGTGCTACAAGGCACTTTTATATTCGCTGAAGCCGTCAAGGAGTTGCTGGAATGTTTCAGGTCTATACACATCAAAATTCTCTTGATCGACATAGACAAAGTCATACATAGCATTTGGCGAAACCTCGTTGACATCCTCACACCATTGCGATAAGCGTTGCATCTTGAGCGGCACATCCAGATCTTCCCTCCCTTTCGTCTCGGCAACAATCACACGTCCATCTGTCAACTTAACAAGGAAATCTGGGTAGTAGTTGCTGATGTCGCCATCGGCGTTTATGTAGTCGAGTTTGAATTGTACGCCGAAGTAGTTTTTGGCGTAAGAGATGACATCGGGACAGTTTTCGAGAAATGCGGCAAATTCCAGTTCAAAATGACTGTCCCCGGTGATTCTATTGAACACAGATTTTTGGGGTATCAGGGATTCTTGTTCTTTGACCATAAAAGGTCGTGTGTCCTGGACTCTGATAGTTTCGCTCAGCTCGGCATCACCTCTAGTCCGGGACTGTGAGGTCGTTGATAGCGCGTTTGAAGGTTTCGATGACGGTTTTTGTGGCAGGCATTCTGAGCAGGCTGTATAAGGTATCGGGGGCTCCAGCAGTACAGTTTTCGCCGAAGAGTTGGTCCTGCACAAAGTCTTTAACCTTTCCATATAGTACATCGTAACCGCTGACGAGTCGGAGGTCTTTGCGGAGAGCTCTCTGCGCAAATAATAGCCGAGTGTGGCGTACGATAATACTGCGGCTCCGACTAACCATCTAACACTGTGGTATGTGTGACCTCGCCCGTTGTCATGTCCTTGAAAACGATTCGCGTTCCGATGTTTCGTCCAACTCTTGGTAGGTCACAGGCGTAAAATTGAACTGTGGTGACATCCAAATCCGCGAGGCTCTTGTAGTCCCGATAGAGGCGGCGCGTGAGTATCGGGATTTCAATATCAAGTGCGTCAACATCCTTGTTGACATTGCTTTGTCTACCTCAACCCGAGAGGGGCTTTCGGTTTGTTCCTTCACCCATGGCTTGGCGTTCCAATTCACCCCTTCCGATTTAATTGACTCAACAAATTCCATGAAGGCATCGGTGCCATAACACTCACAGATTCCTTCTCGTCCCGGCATACATCAGACGCAGCCCGCGCCCCAAAGTCTGTTCTGGCAAAATGTTGGTTTGGCGGAATAGCACGGAGTCCGACAATGGTGGTAACGTTTTTGACACTCCCATCCCTCCTTGAGCATCAACACCGAGACAATTGCCTTGTATGGGCTATCCGATGAATCGATCGCATTCGCCTGCTTACGGAGTTTCTTCAAGTTCTTTCTCTGTTTCTCCCAGATGTCCCGCCTCGGAGATTTCGCCGTTTGCTTGGTGTGAATGACGAGAACGGCATCTTTGAGGTCCAGGTAGCGGTTTCGAGGTGAAGTTTGCTACACATCATCACAGTTCCGGGTGTTATCGGTCATACAAACAGAATGCTTTCTTACCCAATTTTTCGTGTTCTGCATAAGCCTTGCGCCACTCGATAACACCGAGGTCAGGTAGTCGCATATTTTCTCGTGTGTCACTTCACGCTTGGCGTTCATCAAGTTTTGCCCGGCTCTCAGCATCAGGAAGGACAGTGTGTTGACGATGTTTTGCGAAATCGCCTCTACAGAGGGATAATCTGACGACCGTCTGCACAAAATTGCACCGTTGCTGTGCTTGAGGCGATGGCAGCTTACGTCCACTTGTGCAACGCCAATCGCCGCCTTTTTGCAACAAGCGATTGTGAATATCCTCAATGGACTTGAACCATGCTAACTTCGATCGTGGACGTGGTGTGCTTCATCGTTGAGATGACCATCAGTTCGTCAATGTCGCGAACGATGTCCCCGAGATCCACTTGGAATCTGTTGTTGGCCCCCTGTCGGTTTTTTGCCCAAGAAGTAGTCCATACTGTTTTCATCATCATGGGAGGGTGGAGACTGGTCGCTGGAATAGACGCGGTGGATATTGGTGAGAAAAATATTGCCGGTGGCACGGGTGGTACGCACCTCGTCTTGGACATGCAGGGTGAGTTGAAAATCGTCACGCCAATTGTGCCCCTCAAAGCCGTTATCGGGCAGCACCGGATCTTCCAAGAAAATACGGAGTCCTTGAAAATCGTGATAGAGCCGATCAAGCACAATGATATTGGGGGCAATAACGAGGAAGTTGCGCGAGAGTTCGGAGTCATCTTCATACAATTTGTGAAAGAAACTCCACGCGATTGCGAGGCTCATCACCTTCGTTTTTCCTGTTCCTGTTGCCATCTTTATCACAAAGCGTCGCCAGTTTTCGTCAAATAGTCCAGTCGAAACGGTACCAGAACTGTCAAAGCGCATCAGATCGTATTTGTCCCTTATCTTGACGACATCGTACAGATAGATGATGGTTTCGAGTGCTTCGCGTTGGGCGAAGTAATATTGAAACTTGCTCAGCGTCCCGTCAGACTGTTCTCGCAGATGCGGTGTCTTGAACCACCAATTGAGCAGTGCCTTGCTTGTTGCGGAAGCACCTTTGTAGTTGTTATCGCGCCACGTCTTGACCTGTTCACGTACCTTGTGGACGAGTGGCGGAAGGAGCGTCCCATAAGCAGTTTCCCACAATGGACTGATCAGGAAGCCAGCGTACTTTGGGGTCAATGATTAAGTGTGGAGATTCAGGAAAGTCGGGATGTAAAGCCATTATTACATCTCTTTGTTCATATTTAACTCTGCCATCGTCCTGAGATTCAACAGGGGTGTCATCACACCACCGGCAGCGGGGAGAACCACCCCGGTATCGTAAAGTTTCATCGCAGAAATAGTGGCATGCGCGACATCTTCAGGGGTTCCAGAGCGGACCATAAAGATGTAAGCCTTTCTCCGCTGCCTCCTCATAATCCGGAATACGGACGCGAGATAGGTCGGTATCAATTACACCAGCGGCGATGCCGTTCACTTTAATGCCGTGCGCTGCCAATCGTCCGGCATAGGCGCGCATACTCATCTCTAATCCGGCTTTTGAAATACAGTAGGCAGTTCGGTTGTCGGATGCTACTGTATCGGAAATCGAGAGTGTGTAGATGATGCATCCGCGTATCTCGTTTGCTACCATGTAGTTTGCGACGCGTTGCGTCAGAAAGTGGGTTGCTTTGAGATTGGTGTTAACAATCAAGTCAAACTGTTCTGGTGTTTCCTCAAGAATGTCGGCGATGCGGGTGATACCGGCGTTGTTGATGAGGATGTCTACCTTTCCGAATGCATTATGTGCAGTGTCGAGCAGCCTTTCGTGCGCATCAAAGTCGCTGATGTCGGCTTGGATAATAACCGCTTTTCTACCGAGTGCTGTAACCTCCTGTTGTACGGATTCGGCGGCATCACGGTTTTGGTTGTAGTTGATAAGCACGTCAGCACCTTGCCGCGCCAGTTCAATTGCGATTGCCCGTCCGATGCCGCGACTGGAGCCGGTTACGATTGCGGATTTATCCGCGAACGAAACGTCTGTTGCGAAGAACCCAAGGTCTGTGTCTGTTGGCATTTATTTTCCTTTTAATTCTGAATAGGGATCCGCTGCATCGCGGAGGGCATCTCCTAAGAAGTTGAAAGCGATTACAACGACGAGGACTGGCACCGCTGGGAAAATGAGCCACGGATAATCGAGCAGAATGGTGACGCGCTGCGCTTCCTCCAACAGAACGCCCCAACTCGTCATCGGTGACGGATGCCCAAACCTAAGAAACTGAGCGCAGTCTCTCCTAAAATCATGCCGGGGATAGCGAGCGTGGCGATAACGATGATATGGCTATAACACCCCGGTAGCAAGTGCTTTGTGATAATGTGCCAATGTCCTGCACCGGCAGCACGCGCCGCCATCACGAAATCGCTCTCCCGGTACGACAAGACCTTTCCACGTATCTGCCGCGCCAGTCCACCCCAACGTATAATCGACAGAATAACTGTGATTCCGAAGTAAATCTGGATGCTCGACCAGCCGGGTGGCAGCGCGGCGCCGAGTGCCATCCATAAAGGGATGTCAGGAAATGCCGAAAGAATTACAATGCATCTGCGTTGGATCAGGTTGTCTACCCAACCCCCCCAGTAGCCAGAGATAGTACCGAGGATAGAACCGAGAACAATACTCATAAAGACACCGACTAAACCGAGTGTCATTGAGACGCGCGCCCCATACATGATTCGTGATAGCAGGTCACGTCCCATTCGGTCAGTACCTAATAGGAACATGGACCGGCGGAACTGAACAGGTGCCGCCTGCCCGCTGCATCCTTGAAAAAGAATTTGGAAGGGAGGCGTTGTGTTGGGTCTTTGGTGAATTCTAATTCAAGAGTGTCCGGATTGCGGACCGATTTTAAGCCGTGGACATAAAATCCATCTTGGAATGAGAAAAGGAGTTGTTGGGGTGGTACGTGGCGCAGCCGCATGTTGATTTCACTAAAGTGGTACGGCGCGAAGAAGTCCGCAGCGATGGCAAAAGTGTAGAAGATGATTAAAATCGCACCAGCGATAATACCCATCCGATTTTTGCGAAATCGTCGCCATATCAGTTGACGGTAACTCAGTTGTCCTATTTCGCCTGCAGCCTCGATTTCTTCCACAGTCTCGATTGCTTGATTGGGAGTGTTTTGTATCTTATTCATAGCGAATTCTCGGATCTACCCAAGCGAGGGCTATATCTGCAAGCAGGTTACCGATAACTAACAGGAGGCTCAGCATCATGATCAGCGTTCCTGCAAGGTAGATGTCCTCGTTCAGTAGACTCCGTAAGAGCATCGGACCTACTGTGGGCAAACCGAGCACAATGGAGACGATTGCTGAACCGGAGAGAATACCGGGTAGACTCATTCCTAAAATGCTGATGAGTGGATTGATCGCGATCCGCACTGCATGCTTATAAACCACGACGATTTCTTTAAGCCCCTTCGCCCGTGCGGTTTGGACGAAAGGCTGCCCTAAAACATCAAGAAGGTTGCCACGCATGATGCGCATCAAACCCGCCGTTCCGTTAATCCCAACGACGATGACAGGAATCCAGAGGTGCGTAAGCAGGTCAGTCAGTTTGCCCCATGTCCACGGTGCGCTTTCATAGTAAACCGAAAATAGTCCAAATAGGGGAATGCCGAAGATGTCAAACGCAAATACCATCAGCGATAGTGCTAAGAGAAACGCTGGTATTGACATCCCAACAAAACTGAGGAAGGTGAGGAAGTGATCTGACCATTTGTATTGATGCATTGCGGAATAGATACCGAGTGGGATAGCGGCAACATAGGTAAAGATGAGCGACCCGATAGAAATAATCAGGGTGAAGGCTATTCTATCCCATATCAATTCATGGACTTCTCGTTTATACTCAAACGACTCGCCGAAGTTTCCGCGCACAAAGCCGGTTATCCAGATGAGATAGCGTTTCCAGAGTGGATCGTTCAGCCCGTAGCGTTCCCGTAATTCCTCAACTTGTGCCAGGGAACTGCTATCGCCGAACTCCTCTTCTAACCGTTGAATTTCCCGGTCGAGGTAATCACCTTGCGGAAGTTGAATGATAATAAAGGAGATGATGGAAATCGCCAGAAGTGTCGGAATTGCGATCAAACATCGGCGAATAATATAGGTAATTATCGGTTTGCCTCCTTCCTCGCTTCGTTTTCCTGTTCACTCGTTGATATCCAACACTGTTCGGGATAACTGGTTGCCGGGGTAACAATTGCCCATGGTCCCAAAATACCATCGTTTGGGACGTTATGAAAATGGTTTCCTACGACTAAAAGCGATGGCGCACGCGCTGCGGAACCGAGATGAAACGGTCCCTCGTCAATATGAATTCTGACCGCATCCCGGACATATTGATGCCGTTGTTTTGGGTCGGGTTCCCGCTTAATCGCATCGTATAAGTCAAGTAACCGCTTTAGCGGTCCGGTGGCGGGTTCGCCCTTTTCACCACCCGTTTCGTACCATTTTCCAACCTTAGGGTGCCAGTACTTCGCGAGTGTCGGAAACACCCAATCGGGATAAGTGAAGAGATCCATCTCGGCTTCACCATGCATACTGATTGTGAATTTCCCGAGCGTGCGACGCAAACTTAATTCCGCACCGGGAGGTGTATAGAGCAGCGTTTTTAAGCCCATCTCCTCCCATCCTTCTTGAACAATTAACCCGATGTCATTTTCCTGACTGTTAAGATTAGAACTCGGTACGTCCATGAGCATCTCAATCCGTTTGCCATCTGGACGGAGCCTATAACCTTTCTTATCACGCGCTGTGAGTCCCATTTCATCTAAGAGACGATTGCCCGCAGCAATATCAAAGTCTGCATCGGCGCGTTTCCACTCCTCAAAGAGGGTTTGCCCATCTTCATCGGCGAAGTGCCATGCTTCTTGGCTGACGGTTGCGGCTTGCGGTTCCAACAAGCCGCGCCATGCGATCTCGTTACACTTTTCGCGGTCGACGCCGTATGCGAGTGCCTTTCGGAAACGTTGATCCCGAATGATTTGTCTTAACACAGGATCAGGTGCCGTCCAGTTAATCAAAATAGCGGGTAGTGCACCAGCCGTGCTTTTCCACCGACGTATCTTATAGTTACCCTTCTCCTGTCCTTTCAGATAGAGTGCGAGATCCCGGAGTTCCATTCCGCGGTATTGGCAGTCAATCTCTCCAGCAAGAATCTTGAGGACACGCACTTGCGGTTCGGGGACCAAACCGGTCTTGACGATATCAATGTATGGGAGTTGCCGACCGAGTGTATCAACGACATAGTAATACGGATTACGTTCCAATTCAACACGGAAACCTCCCTTTTCATATTTTGTTACCCGCCAGGGCCACAAGGTCGGACGTCCTGGGTTTTGGTGCGGTAGATTTTCCTTCTCAAATTGGATGAAATCGGTGTATTTCGGGTTGTGGTCGGGATGAAACTGCATCATATAGTGCTGCGGAATGTTGTATTGATTGCACCACCAAAATCCGGTTGCCAACCAAAGGGGCACAAGCCAGTTGGGACCTGCGAATTTCATTACAATCGTGTAATCATCGGGTGTTTCGACTTCCATCGGGATGCCGTTCACCTGGCACCAAACAGGCGCACCGTACTTATGTCGTTCATCAAGGCAGAGATCGTAGTAGAAAGCGAAGGCAGCTGAAGTATACGGATGCCCGTCTGACCATTTGACCCCTTTGCGGAGATGCAATGTCAGTATACTCCCATCCTCATTAAACTCCCATGATTCGGCAAGACCGGGTTCCAAACCAGAGGCATCAAATTTCCATCGGATAAAAGGGGCATAGCCTGCTGTCATCTTCCACGTCCCTAAATCTGGGTGTGTGTGAAACCGGTGCCACGTCCCGCCGTAGGGACCCGGACGCTCATAACCATCGAAATTCGTTTTGGCGACGAGCGGGTTCTGCGGCAGCCGTTCTGAAAGTGGAGGGAGTTTGCCCTCGGCGACCTGTTTTGCCCACATTGGTGCCTCTTTCGCCTCAACCCCGCTGGAAAAATCGGAGGTATCTTCTAACTGGCTTCCTGAACATCCAGCAATAAGGATTGGAAAGATCAGCAGTAGTTTAATGAAATTCAGAGCAGTTGCTTTGTACATCTCAGGCGTCCTCCTCAGGTCTTGCGAGAGAATCGGTAAACGTATTTAGGTCTTGAGATGACGTTTGCAATAGTCATCAATTGATTTTGCATGGGGTTCTGTTTTTTCATAAATCAATTCTTCGCCATAGATGTTATTTACTTTGTGGCGGAAATCCAAAAGGTCTCTTAATCGGACAATGTTTTTGAAATCACGGGTGGTCGTTCCGGTCGTTGTTCTGCCATTTGTGCGAGTAGATTTTTATGCCATCTACTTCCAGTCGGTACTTTAGTTCGGAACGCTGGACCCAGTTGCGGTTGGCCGTCGACGCGGGCTGGCCACAAGGTCCGGCGCGGGTTCTTCACGCACTTCAGAATCGCCTGTGAGGCTCGGATCGAGTAAGGAAACGCCGGTGCGCAGCGAGATGATCCCGTTCGGACTGGCGGCACTAATCCACCGTCACGCGCGCACACGATGAATGTGTC